CATAGCTCCCTCGACATTGAAGTATGTCTCATGATTATTACAAAGGCATTCTGAGGAGCCCATGTGTGTATTTTACCGATCAAAGAAGTTAATTAAACTTAAATGTAATGTTTCGTGGGTGAAATCGTCTTTTAAACCCAGCCAAGTGGAGTCTCGTATGACCTAATCAAAAACATGGTTTTGTTTAAATAGGTCATTTTGAGAGCATTCATCTGCGGAGCAAGGTACGTGCTGCTCGGCATGAGTTCTGCAATTGCCTACAAGGGTTAAGAATCCGTCGATATTATGGTACGTGATCCAACGTCCTGTTTACTTATTTTATGACTGTGTGTTAATTTATGTGTTAAATGATATGTGATAAGTTACTTTAGGAGACGCTGGGTTCAATTGCTGAATGGTTTCCATTGTCGCAAATTAGTTGTTAAAGATACATTTATACTCTTTGTTTTTCGTTTTTTGTTACCGATGCCAAGTAAACATGAAATGCGAGCATTACGGAACCAATCGAAGCACCGTCTGTAGGCAAATTTTGAGTGAGAAGAGGGCGTATCATGGCCGCGACGGAGGAAGAAGCGGATCCTTCTGTTCCCTCTAAGTTGTCGGTGCTAAACCACTCGCCAAAACTGGAAATGTCAGAGCTCAGGTCGAAAGTTTCTACTGGTAGGAATTTCATCGGTACAAGTTATTGGAGGGTGTAAAATCTGCAGAAGTGGTGGAAGGCACCACTGAAGTCCGGAGCAATTGCTTTCAGGTGGAATTGCAATATGTCTGCTTGAAGACACAAATGCCGTTATCGCAATGAAATTATTGCTTTATGTGCTGCCCTCTACCAATCAAAGGTCCGGAAGGGCCCAAGAGCGATATTACGAACGCCATGAACTTACGATAGCAAGCCTTTGAGGAATGCGGGTTATGTTCGTTTGGAATTTAGGCGTTGTTTGCTGGATGACCTGCACGGCAGGTTAGCAACCGGAATTCCCGAAATGCTCATTTGAAGTTATTAAAGGGATCTGATCAATGTCTCCGGCCAATCCTTGCTCCAATCAGACCCCCGTTTTTGGTCAGCCCCTCGTAGATGGGTTTTTAATGGGGGTTGGTAAGACCAAGGCGGTGGATTGAGTGAAATTTTGGTTATCGGCCTCTGGGTCCTACATACGGGGGATGTATTGAGGGTGGAATTCGCCAGCGATATTTGAGACGCCTCTGTCCAATCCTATGCCCGACAAGTGAAAGCCCACAACGGGTACTACGGATGCGACAGGTATGTTATTTCGTAGAGGTAACCACAATAATTGCAAGTGCTATAATGTGGGAATTTCCCTTACAAACCACACGACACTTCCAGCCGGCTCTACGGCTGCTCACAGTGCGATGGCAAGCGAGTCGCAGCAATTTATTTTGCTGTGAGTGATATAATTTTCTTAGCAAGGAAAGAGAACTAGAAAAGAGTGTATATTATAAAATTGCCCCTACGCTCGCGCGCCAGTAGTGTAGGGGTATCATGTAAGCCTCCCACGCTTGCGACCCGGGTTCGAATCCCGGCTGGCGCACTGTTTTCATGATGGTTCATTGCTCATTTCGTTGTAACATTGGGCTGAGGTAACTTTCCATTGGTCAAGTCTGCTTTTGTTTCTAGTATTGCTAATTTTTGACGCTCATGATGGACACAGTTCGCTCGCTAAAGCGGTAGAATGGTGAAAGATGCTATTTACTGAACCCGACTTGGGTCGGTTTCAAATCGAGCGGTCTGCAAAACGACCGTACATCCGACGGCTTACCATGGCCGCAATAGTTATGTGGTTGGAGTGAGAATATAGTTATATACTCCAACTGAAGACACATCACTAACAAATGACTGCCCCTGAATAGTTACCAGGGCCGGTGAGTCTTACCCTTGTAGCAACTCCGCTAGCACCGGCCTCGTCTGGCTCCATCAAGCCTGCGGCGCCAGAAGGGGCTATGCCCAATATAGGCGGGGCTATATCGAGTAAATATCTACTGGATATCTATTTATCCAGATTCATATATCGACTGCATATCTATTTTGTCGCAATAAACCGACGGCGAACATGGGGCTTAATACCATGCGCTTGAAATCGTTTACTTAAACCACTATAGTGGTTTAAGTAAACGACTAGGGGTAGAAAAGGGTATACCCTTTTCTACCCCTAGTCATTCCTTTTCGTCTGTTTATCCCCCCCCCCTTTTATCCAGAGGTACTTTGGAGACGGTTATTGTGGAATAATTATATTTAAAAGTAAAATAGCTAGATATGTACAGAGCTTTGCTGACTCCTTTCCGGATCACTGTGTCGGCGGAGATCGACAGTCAGTAGAAGCTCCTGGGATGTTGTCAAAAAGTCAGAATTAGTTCTTGACAAACGGCAATCAATTTACCACTCTCTTCTCTGTTAACTTGCGACTTGTGTTTCCTTTGGGCGTAGCCGTCCAGCGACCTTTTCAGGCGCTTGGTAAAATCAGACTCAAGGTCTGAATACCATGGAATTGTGTAAGTAATGGCAGACGTACCAACTATAGCCTCACATATTTTGGATCCGCTGAAGCTTTCTTTCGAAGATGAGGCATGGCGAGAGACCGCCTAGAGCAGTCAGAAGATTCCCTACAGACTCTTTCTCATTTTGGCCACCAATGGCGGTCAGGTGTTTTATCTTTAATCCGTCCAAAATACATATTTCTAAATATTTACATACCGCCTCCCTAACAGAACCTGCATCTGAGTTGAGCCGACCACCAAAGTCGTCGCAGGCTTCGCCGGCACAGAGCGGCAGATTGGGCACCGACTGCATGTCCTTAGTAGGTCGACGTGTGTCTTGAACAGCCTTCAAAATCTCTGCAATGACGTTTTCAATTGGACCACGTCACCCCGAGGTTCAACGTTCTGTTCTGCTAGGTAGTCAACTTTTTTCCAGATGAATATCAACAAGATTGAGGACAGTCCTGCCAGAGGGATCCCAACTCCTTGTGTACCCGGTTATAACATTTTCCCTCGACAGTTGTGCACTCTACCGTTTGCAGTCTAAAGTATACATTAATAAAACCTGCTTATTGGTATCCGACCGTTGGCGTAGGCGGACAGAGCTCAATCCACCAGGGTGCGTTCTCATTATTGTCTGGGATTCTGAAGCTTATATGTATATATATTGAAGGGTTACAGGCAAAGCCCTTGATGACCCTATTTATGTACAGTGCTATCGCAGATTCATACTCAAAAATAAAATAAAATTGCAGGAATTTAAAATGTGATTGAGTCACAGTTCAATCGTAATCATAAGGTAGTGCATAGGGTCACTGAAAATTAGTGCGGAAGATTGTATATGACAGATTTTACAAAACTGGCTCTGCATAGTCATGCTGTTCAAGCCGATTTCTGTTGAAAACTAGACGAGCAAGTTTTCTTTTAAACACACAACCTGTGTCAGCCGTCACCATCTCACTTGGAAGCGAGTTCCACGGCCTGACAACCCGCTGGCTGAATGAAAATTTTCGTCGGTCTAAGCGCGTGCGCTCATTCGCGACTTTGTATGCATGGCCGCGCAGTTGGTTTGTACGGGCGAACTCAAAGAAGTCCTCTGCTCTTAATGAGCAACCCTGGCCGCGAACAATCCGGAACGTCCAGAGTAGACTGCAGTTTATTTGTCTATAAGAGAGAGGGACTAGGCCAAGCAAATTCAGCCTCTCCTGATAAGACAAATGCTTTAGACCGTCGACCATCTTTGTCGCTCTGCGTTGCACCTGTTCCAGTAGGCCGATATCCTTCCTCATCCATGGTGAAGCTGCTGGCATTCCATACTCTAGATGAGGTCTTACAAAGACACCAAAGAGTCTTTCGAAAAGTTCGGCAGGAAATACTTTAAATGCACGTCTGATCCAGTGTAGAGTACTAGTTGCCTTCTGGACCATCTTTCTGCAGTGTTCTGATGGGGATAGATTTGTGGTCGTCCATACACCCAGATCTCTGTGTCTTTCCACAGTTTCTAACCTCGTCCCAGTATTTTCAAATTTGAAGATAAGGGGAACATATTATTGTAAAGTGTTCTCTAGGTAACAAAAAATTCTGTTTCTTTTGTTTTTCTAATAAAATTTCTTTAAATACAGACATATTATTCTGGGAAAATTGCTCGACAAAGATATCTTGGATGTTCCCACTGAGGAATGTAAACGTCTTGAATCACTCGTCCACATGATCGTCAGTGAATCTAGCGATAAACAAAAAGGCTAACAACTTCTTGTTAAAAATGTTCCTCGATCTGCACGGTCAATTAATGTCGCAGTTGATTTCCTGTACTCGGGTGGATTCAACTACAAAATAGCTGATACCAAACACCTGCCTTCGCGTAACAAAAATCCGCTTGTCGTAGCCAAGTTGGGTTTACCAATCGAGGTTGATTCAATCTTCGCCCACCGAGGTCGTGTTTCTGCGTATCTGGAAAACGCGGACTTTCCCTTTGTCATAATCTTACTCCCATGGAGCGCAGAAATGGCTCCCTTTTCTCACGTAAACCCACATATTCTCAGTCAAATGTTCACCAACTCGGTTATAACACAAGTGACCGTGCGGATTCAGCTAATCCTACTCCTGCGAGATCTGGCTCCCTCCCCCAATTACTCCTACATCTCCCTTTCAGTCAAGCCCCATAACGCCCTCGTCTGCCTCCAAACTAGCAGCAGTCCTAGTTGTCGTACCTAATCCTCCGCAGAGATCTACTAGGACGCACGAAAATCCGTCTACATCAGCTGGACATCAGTAGGGTCCTCCGAGTGCTCCATTCAAGTCAATTGTGGCGCGGCGTCAGAAAGATAAGGTTCAACAGCGGAATCCTATTTTGACCCAAAAGAAAGGTAGCATAACTCCATTCGGTGTTATGTAGCCTCATCTTAGATCTAACAAGCCTTTACAGCAGGGCTTGTCTATATACCCCATAGCTCCAATTATACCCCCAAGTAATTCACTGTTCCGCACACCAGCTAATTACCAAAGCTATGCAATGCACTCTAAATAGTTTGCACACGAATCGCCCTATTCATTTATCCCCAACTTTGTTTGGGCTTCCCACCTCTCAGGGTCATCTGCTCTCACGTAAGTCAACTTAACTCCTTTAACTTTCGGCCTGGACGCGGTTCTCCACCGTTTGATTCTTATAGCTGCCTCACTTCACCCGCTAGCCCATACCGTCCTTCTAGACTGCCCCCTCTCATCCTCATCCTTCTCCTCTTCTTCTTCTTCTTCCTCCTCCTCCTCCTCCTCCTCCTCCTCCTCCTCCTCTCCCTCCTCCTACTCCACGAATTAACCACCAGCAAGCCTATCGCTGTTCCAACTCACTTAGCATTCCAATGTCCGAAAACTATAACCCCACAGCCTATAGTCCTCCCGTCCAGCCCTCTCCTGCTGACTCCCCTTACGTTAATAACCTTAGACTAACTGGTACTTGTTCCTTAACTAACATTAATTCACAGTTTACATATTCACCCACAAATTATTTTTGTATATACCGTCGACAATAGCTGTGATGTTCGAAACACTAAATATTATTTTAGTAAATGCCAGGTGTGTTATAAACAAGAAGACCTAGATCTGAGCCATTGCTCTCGAAATGACGCCACATATTATAAGCATAACAGAATCTTGAACCCCTCTTTAAATTCCTGGATCTTCCCTTTTTATAACTGACTTCGAATTCTACTTTTAAGACCGCACAAGTAAGCGTTAGGGCGGTGAATTTTTTTAATCTAATATCATATACGAAAGGCTCCCCTTATTACCTGAATGCTTCCTCGATCTCGGAAAACTTCTGCTTTGCATCTATTATTCTCTTGCCACGAAGAAAGGCAATTATTGGCTGTATCTACAATCCACAAACTATTCAGCCAGCGATGATGCACAACTCTGCGAAATCTTTAAATTAATTTCGGAATCTGCATTTGACGTTAAGATAATCTTTGGAAATTCTGACCTTCCTTAAAAAGATTGGATTTCAAATATCTGCCCATGTTGCTTCCAACATTCCCAAGATATTATCAATTCTTCTAACTGGTCTCACCTTGTGCGATCTTCAACGAGAGATAATTTCATTTTAGATCTTATCTTAGTTTATGAAATTTCTCCTTGTTTTGGTGCTTGCAAAAAGGACCTCCTTTAAGGCGACCACGTATTAATTCATTGTTGCTTACCGATTGCCTCTTCAAAGAAAACCTACCTAGTTTACGATTGCCTAGATAAGGACTTAATAAATAAATATGTTGTATCCTTGGACTGGCGTGGCTTTCTCTCCCGTAAGTATGAAACCGTTCTTTGTGACGTCATGTCAAATGTTCTCAAAGACATCTTAGCGTTTGTGT